TTATCATTTTTAACCCCCCAGAACTATTATTTTAATTATTTTTCAACGATTTATTAATTAAAAATCATTATTTTATAATAAGAAGAATATTATACCCCACAAGTGGGTCAAGTGTGCCCACTTGCCTCCCATGTGTCACTTTCTCATTGGTCCAACCTTATCCACATCACACAAACCAAGGCAAACATCCCTTCACCCTAGCCACTTGCTCCAGCAACCCTCCATATAAGGAAATGCCTGGGATTTCCTTGATCTTTTACTTCACCATCAAAATTATACACTTCTTAAACCATCAAGAGGGCCTCTTTTCTCTCAACTTTCAGCCACACTTTTGATGTATTCTTGAGTCATTCATTCACTTATTGGTAAGTATTTCCTTCTAACTCAAGTGTTATTACATGTTTTCATAACACTCTTGGATTAACGACTCATATCTTCACACCAAAAATCGTTCTTAGGATCATCCAAAACTTCGTGTGTTCATCAAGTGATCTAGACTTGAAAACTCATCATCTACAACCTTCTACTCTTCAAGAAATCACTCAAGGTGAGTTCATACCCCTACATTTTTACGTTTTCTTCAAGTTTTAGGGGGGGAATACAAGTTAAAACACCAAAAACTTAACCAAACTCAAACAACAGCTTTCATCAGAAAAGTTAAGTCTTATTCACGGACTGTTTTGACTAGCTTAAACTTAATATCTTTCAAAACTGTGTAATATGCAAATAGTTCAGGTTCATACCTTTAAAATGACTACTTGCAAATCTCCATACGATTTATGGTGATTTTTACAAAACTGCCTATCATTTCATAAACGAATTCGGACCAGTCTGTGAATATGAACATTTTAACACAAGTTAAAGACTTCCAAAAATCATAATAAAATTTACGAATAAACTAGACACATTTTATGAACTCTCAGAATTTACGGATTCAGTTTTCGACTTCGTATGATTTTTCTATGATTTTTTCTAAAACAGTGCAGAAAGGTTAAAAACTAGTTAACAGCTTATAACTTCCATAACACTTTGTATTATGTTGAGCAAAGTGTATAACAATAAGTTCTAAATATTGAATGTATTTTCTTGTTAGTTTATCATCATAAACTGAAATTTAGTCATTCATGATAAGATTCTTCATTCACTTCGAACACCTATAATAAGCTATAATAAGCATAGTTTATGGATTCATAGCACTAATGTATTTTCATAAAAGAGTTCTTTTACATTACAAACGTTTTAGGATAAACTATAATAGGTATAGTTTATGTATCATTTACATTTCAAACTCATTTACCAAAGGTTTTCAGTTCAGTTCACGTAAATCTGTTAATGAATAAATTTGTGAGACATTCGCTTCGTGTTACCTTCGTAGTAACAAAGTCAAAAGTCCTGTAAATTGTAACCAGAGTCTCTTGTAGGGAGAGCGTGATAATTGTGTATAGATCTATATTGGGTCTGAAAAGCCCGCACCTGAACTGCTTGCAACAGCTAGACCGGCAAGTCTGTGGTGACAAGTGTCATAACATTCCGACGCTTGAAGAATGTCGTGTTACGAGGCCGTCTGAGTCTTAGCATGGTTATAATAACTCACATGTGGTATTAACAAATCATAAGATTTACGGGTTTTACTTTTAAATTAGCGAGTTATGTCGATTTAACTCACAGGAATTACTTTAAGTATGGAAAAATACTTGTACACTTTCGGTCTTAGGATTTAAGACAACACATAACACATAAAGTTTACGGGATATTTCCCAAAATTAAAAAGGGTTTTATGTCGATTTAAAATCACTTTTATATCTTTAAGTATGGAAAAATACTTGTTTATTTTCGGTCCTGGGACTTAGGACTACATAACTTTTATAAGGAAAATATTGGATTTTCTTTGGAAACCTATTTCTGTTAAACTTCATTTCATCTAGAATTGTTAGACTTCAGCTATAATCGCTAAATGTATATGCTAGGGTTATATAAGAATCTAGTCACAATCGACTTAGAATTGGTGGGCCCGCCTTATCTCCTGTTCCTTGTTTGGTGGTGAACCTAGGGCAGACCCATTATATTCAACGGTTTATTTACTGAAATTTTATATAACTTATATACGTTGGGCGACTATAGAAGGAATCTATGGGTCCTTCTAGGGTTCATTATCGCATAACATAGAAGCATTCATTTCACACTTAATAAAGAAAATATTGGATTTTCTGGAAACATACTTTATCGCTTTTACAAGGAAAACGGTTTCTTTTTCAAACAAAACTCTTATGAACTCACCAACTTAATTGTTGACGCTTTTTCAAACTACTTGTATTCTCAGGAATTCAGTGAAACAGGAAATCAACCGCTTTTGAGGATGGGACGTTAAATCGTCAAACGTTTCATTTTTGTCATCATAAGTGTAATTGATTGGAAACATGTAAACACATACTATTGTATAACTTTTTCAATTATATTTATGATGGTTGTATTTACTTTGGGCACTATTATACTCGTTGTTGTGATACTATACATGAAGTCCTCCACCCCCGGACGTTTCCGCCATCCTTGGTTTGGGGGTGTGACAGCTCCCCAGCGGAACCCCTAGTTGCCGGGCGCCCTAGCAGGACGACCGCGTGGAAGGTCCTTTCCCGCCAAAGGCCACCCTCCACTACAGTCCAAGGATAACGGCTCCAGGCGACAAGGAGCACATCCAGAGCACTATCGCCTGGACCAATCGTTGGGCCTGGCACAACGAGGAACACGACTCACCAATAAGGACAATGGATCTTGTCGGGATCGCAGTCCTTGTTCCTCGTACGGACCGAAGAGGATCCTCGGTATAAAAGGACCATCATTCTACCTTGAGAAGTAAGCCATCTCTCCCGATACTCGGCCCTTACTCTCCAATACACTACTAACTTGACCGTCGGAGCGTTTTCCCGGGACCTTCTCCCGGAGAACGGCTGACGGTTTTCTCTTTTTGTGACCTCTCAGGTTTCTCTTAGACGATCACTGCCTTCACCCTCTAGGTGGTCGGAACCCAGGTCACATCAATATATATATATATATATATATATATATATATATATATATATATATATATATATGACGATCACTGCCTTCACCCTCTAGGTGATAGGAACCCAGGTCGCATCAATATATATATATATATATATATATATATATATATATATTATATATATATATATATATATATATATATATATATATAGCGTCTCCTCATAGGTATATTGTTCATTTGTTTTTTCATCCCCCACCCGGTGCCTAAACTTCATATGTTAATCTTTACCTTTAAACTAGTTTAGAACTAACAGTTTTATCTCTATAATTTTAAAATTAACTTATTGGTATCTTATAAGTTGTGATTTTAGTCATATACTATATTTCAAAGTTATGCGTTTGCTCACTTACAAAATTTGTTTTTATAATTTTCATTTTTATTAATATTATTATTTATTATTGTAATTTTTTAATTAACTATCATTTGTATATTGTACGAATTGTTGGTAATTTTAGTGTTATGGTTATTATGCTCGAGACAAGCCGAGTTCAGTTTACTATCTGAGAGACTGGAGGCGCGGGGGTGCACACTTGGAGTGTTAAATGTGAATTCGGACATACAGGGATCCGGGGGCAATGCCCCTAGGTACGGGTTTCCAAGGGGCAGCTCCCCTTGCGGGGTCCAAATAGTAGAGCTTCTGGCGGTGGTCTGTTAACTAAACGGATTTTTATATTAGGAAAGAGTCCTAACTTGTATTTTCCCACCAAAACTTACTGATAACATCATGATGATATAGGCATCAGTTGTGTCTATTAAGTATTAACTACCCTCTAGGGATGTCAAAAAGTCACGTGGGGCCCCATTCTTGTGAGGGGACCCGTCCCGTTTGAGGGTATTTATTAAAAAAAATCGGGGGCGAATACGGGGCATTCACATTTTGGGGGTGGGGGTGGGGGCGATGATGCACTCTCCGTCCCGTTTGCCCCCGTTGACATCCCTACTTCCCTCTTTTTGGCGCCAAATTGGTATAACCAACATTTTTAATTATTTCTTTCCTTGTATAAATGCATGTATAAATGTTACACGCATTCACATATATGAAATTGATCATTAGTAACTCTATGTCTCTCAAACACATCACACATGTATTTTATATTTTATTATTTTGGATTAAGCCTCTAATCTAAATTAGATTTTTTTTGGATTATCCCACTTTTGAATTCATGTACACAGGCTATAAGGAAGAATTGCAAATTTTCAAACCTTATTTTTGTCGGCCTCCTTCATACATAATTTTTTCGATCGAAAGTTCAGGTTCACTTTGCAAAGTGCGGGATGACAGAATACTAGTTTAATTTATTTTTTATTAATCGTTTTATAAACTAAAGTCTCCGACTTGTTCTTGTGCAGTATTCATAAAACTAAAAGAAACGTGATCATTAAGAATGATAGGTTGGCTTTGACAAAATGGTAGTTTTGCAAGTTTAAAAGTTGGTTAATTCTTTAATAGAATCTCCTACGATATTTAGGAGTAATATAATCATTATGTATTTGAAGATAATTACAAAATAAAAAATTTTAAAAAAAATGGCAGAAATAACTGTTTTGTCCGAAATAGACATTCCACACTTAAAATAAAAATAAAAAACATTTTGTTTGACAATAAAATAGATTCCAAACCAATAATTCGGAATTTAGACTGAAATTTCGGATTTCAAAAAAAAAAACTCAAAATTTTCCAAAACAAATAACAATTCTGGAAATCCTATGAACAATTCTGGAACTCCGAAATTTGAAGATTTAAACCAGAATGAAACATTCCATATTTCAAAAACTGGAGAAAAAAAAAAGTCAATTATAATGATTAGTTTATTCGATTTCCCTATATTTAATTTAATGCATACTTAATTAGCAGAAAACAGGTATGATGGGTTTGGAGTAGTGATAGGGTTTGTATATAAAAAATTGAGAGAAAATGAAAAATATGATAGGATGTTGAGGAACAAGAAACGTATTCATTCATATAATACCTGAATCAATGACTTTGGTTACACACAACACAACACAACACAACACATGACATAAAAGAAAAGAAAAGAAAGAAAACACCCTTTTACTCCTGGTCATATATATTATATATTATATATTATATATATGCCACCTGCTGCTGCTGCTATTTAACAAAACTGTATGAAATCCCACTCTCCATCTCCATCCACATATCCAATCCAGCCATCCTGCCATGCAAAGTATTACGAGTGTTATAGAAACAACCATCAAAATTCATGTATGTCACAACTCACAACCCAAGCAAATACATATGTCATGTCATGTGTTTAGTATATCCATCCATGACCATCAGAGAGAGAGGGAGAGACCAAATCCTAATGTTTTACCAAACAAACTAAAACTCAAAAGGTCACACCACTTACAAAAAAATGCTAATTCTATTCTCTATCAATCCAATCAATTCTTCAGACTTTTAACTACATTGCCTTTGCCCTTTGTGATTGGATGTGATAAATCACAAATCAAACCTCCCCTTCCCCTTCCCCTTCACCTTCCGTTATATTATTTTGATTAATAAGTAAGTTGGATCTCAACTTTAATCTGGTCTATTTAAATAATAACCTTGTTATTGTGATTAATCACATTCACAACACAAACCTCAAGCAGTCAAGCCTCTATTTCAATAATAACCTTGTTATTGTGATTCATAAAATGGTCCCTTAAACATTTTCATCACTTCACAACAGCCAATATCAATCCCAAGATTATTTTCAAAAAACAACTAACTTACCATGTTCATGTTCATGCAGCTAAATTAGGCTCTAGCAAATCCATTTATTTTCCAAATTGGTCAAATTAAAATTTTAAAATAGATAAGAGAGATTTGGCATGATAACAAGTAAGACATACTGTATTGACTCTTGATGATATGATAGTACAGTAAAAGCTAACTTGTAACTTGGGGAGGTTAGTCACAAAACAGATAAGAGGAAACCTACAAATATCATCATCAACTTTTTCAACTGCAACTGCTATATAGATAAAATGACATATAAGTTCATAAAGGCATCACTCACAAAAGCTTGAAAAGAATAAACATCATTATCAAAGAGGATCAGAATGTTACCTGTGTTTTTTTATAGTATAGCAAGATTGTAGGAATTACATAGCTGAGCAAGTGCAGCTTGATTAGCAGGAGAAAGATATTTGGTAATAAGTGGCGGGAATCTCCCACGGAATTGAGAAGAGAGATTTGAGAGTAAAGCAAGCGAAAAGTATTTTGGATCAGTGATCTCCTTGAGAGGATCCTCTTCTTTTTTACCAGCATTGTGAAGACGAACAAAAGTGGCTTGATAACCAGTAGTTGCCTCCCCAAAATCAGGAACTTCCGGTTCATCCTCAACTCTGTCCTCCTCTGGCAGGGACAGAAGAGTCACGATACCATCCAGCAACTTCCCCCAGAGCTCCTCCACTGCAGGATCCAACGCCAACAGGGATGCTGATTCACACAGTAGTTTGCTTGATGCTACTGCACTCAGCTTCACCTCCGTGTACCCGGTTATGGTCTTCAGATTAGGTATCCAAAACTGGCCCAAGATCACATGAAACAGATTCGGCTGAACAGAATTTATGGAGTCCACAAGAGTTTGTATCCCATGCTTCACCAGGAACAGAGACATAAAGATAATCAGACACCTAACAAGTCTTGGGGTTTTGCTATTCTGGAGGCGGGTAAACAAGGAAGCCCAGATGTGGTTCATGTATTCTGCCATCACATCATACCCAAGATTCTCAATCACCGGGTTAAGAATATGAAATCCTTGCTCTTCGGTGCTGGGTGAGGACACGAGCCTGTTGAATATCCCAAGAACATTTCTTAATCTCCCTTCCCTGTTAAGCTCATTGGGTGCCTGCTGGAGAAACGACTGAAGCAAACGAACGAGAGCCGGGACATTTGCAGACTTTTTCCACAGATCGGGTGTTAACAAGATGTCAAATATCTGCATGTAGTGTGCAGGGACAGGAGGTCTGCTTAAATCCACAAGCTGAGCCAACAGCTGGAAGGCGTAAGGGAAGAACTCTGTCACATCTTTAGCCAAGATCATCTGGAGGCTCGGTAAAAGGCAGCTTTCAAAGGCTGGAACAAGAGAAGGTGTCTTTTCACATGCTCTTCGCACAAGTGTAGCAACCGCCTCAAACAGACAATGGTTGAACACCGGGTTTTTCGGGTTCTCACAGACCCTGTTTAGAATTGAGGTTAACCCGGTAATGGAGGGTGAAGCCACCTCAGGGGATATATCAGCAACCTGAAAAACACGCATGATACACCTCATAATATACTGATTCTCCTCTGATTCCGGCTTCTCTAACGCACCAAAAAGATTTGTCATCAAAACTGGAAGAATGGGACCGATGTCCATTGACGTGTATCTTGCCTGTGAATGCACCCCATTGTTGTCTTTCACAAGCAAAAGCTTCTCGATACAGGTGGCAGCATACGAGTGGACCACGTTTACATCTGAACCAAGAAACCTGACCACATCACCAACAAGAGCCATGGCAATGGGTTTAGGGATCAAGACACGGAACATTGTGAAAAACTTCAATGCACCTGCCTTCAACATTGGGAAAGCATTCACATCTTGTCCCTGTAGCTCTGGGACAATAACTGATCTGAAGAAACTTTCAACATCAACAAGATCGGTTGAGATTGAAGCACCACCTGCCTTTTTTGTGGCAAGAGAGACAACCAAGTAAATGGCACAATCTTTATACTTCCAGTTAGCAGCTGGGTTTTCAGCAAACATTGCCAAACAATTGTGTATCTGTGTTGAGACCCTCTCTGTGATCTTCTGTTTGTAATTTCCAGCAATACCCTTGAGAAGCTCACACGCAATTCTCCTTCTTGTATCAAGGTCACTCCCTTCCATGTCTCTCCTAATAAACTCAACATAATTCATCTCAAACAGCTCTTCATCTTCATCCCTTAACATCACATTTGGAATAACAATACTCTGAGTAATCTGCTGCAATATCTCATCACCAGCAAACAATTCATGATGTACACTTGTGCTGACAATGGTCAAAAACTTGATGGCAGTCACAGTCAACCGTTCACGGCTGGGTGATGCTGATGCAACTACAAGGAGACTCCAAACAGCTTCTACAAACTCTTTTAAGTACTTTTGGAACAGTTCCTCCTCTTTCTCCATGTAATGGCTTATATTTTCACACACAGCTGCTCGTAGCTCATCAACAAGTGAAACACCATCTGCACCAATATCCTCTATAGCTGGATACCTCACAGTCAGATAATTCTTAAACTCTTTCATCCATTTATCTGCATTATCCTCAAAATACTCTGGCAAATCCAAAAAGTTGAGCGAATAAAAAATCCTAAAGCAGATCCTCTGTGCTTCAATCAACTGACGGAGTGTTGCAGCAGACCCAGCAGCCTCGTTTATCTTACCCGAAATACTCACAACAGTACTCGACAATGGTGCAGCAAAGTTATCCAAGCAGTATTTCAAATCAAGCAGTAGGGGATCACTCTTAAACTGATACCGAAATTTTTTAAACAAAGAATTTACAGTAGCAAGAATACCATTAACTGAAGCAAAATCATTCGCGTTGATAGCCGTTTCAAGACTTGCCTTAAGCTCGGGAAGCAAAGCCGGCCACAACCTAGGGAAATCATGGTTCCCAATCACAGCTAGGGCTTCGCTAAGCTGGGCCTGGATTCTCGGGGTAGCTGAGAGCATGAGAGGCACTATTAGAGTCTTAATCTGCTCTTTTTCACTATCGGGAATAGGAGTAGCAGATGAGGGCATCCACCGGGTTTTAAGATGGTTCTTGAAGTTAACAGCGGCGCATTGGCGGATCTGCTCGTCAACAGAAGGTTCAGCAACGAGACGGAGAACGGCAAGGCCGTAGTTAGGATTATCGGCGGCGTCGGACAAGTTTTTCTCAGCGTGGCGGCGGGGTTCTGGTTGAGGGGAGAGTGTACCGAGGAAAGATTGGGACAGAAACTGTAGGGTTTGTGGATTCCACTCCATCTTTAGGGTTTTTACAAGATTTAAGAGCCTGAAAATCAGAAGTATATGAATGAAAATCTACTAAGATTTCAACAGTGATAGGTAATAGGGATCGAAAACTGGAAAGCAGTGAAGAAAAAATGCACCTGCGTAGGAAGAAATGATCGATTTGAAGCGCTGCAGACTGTGAATGTGAAGGAGAAGAATGAGGAATGAGGTGGGACTGGAGCGTGTGTCCAAGAATTTGAAATGAGGAAAGTAAAGGAAGGAGGGACCGAGGGATGAAGGAATATGGGCTTCGTCAAGCCCATTACTATCGATTGAACAATATATCAAGTATTTGTTAAAACTTAAAACGCAAGTTACACTACAGGACTACAATTTTTTTCTTTTTTTTTTTTTTTTTTTTTTTTTTTTGAAACCGATTCAGTTTGAGTCAACGAAGTCAAAACCGGATCGGAGTGAAACCGGTTAAAACTGAAAATTACCCGTTTAGCCAACGAAATCAAAACTGATTTAGGTTGAAACCGGTTAAAACTGAAAATTACCCGAATCTATACAAACTGATTTTGGTTGAAACCGGTTTAAAACTGAAAATTACCCGAACCGGTTTCACCCAAATCGGTTTAGTTTCGGTTTTAAAACCGGTTTCGGATCGTGAACCGGTTTTTTGTGCACCTTTAAGTTACACAACCAAAATCAAGATATATGTATTTTTGATTTATTCACTTATAAACCATCAATCGAGTTAAACTAGAGCTAACTACTAAAACAATTAAAAATAAAATTGTATATATTGACGAGATTTTGTTTACGAACAAGATAATTATCGAACAAGTAGACTATTGCATCATGTTCTCAAGTTTAAAACAAGATTTTTTTTTAAATAATGGTCGAGCGAGTAGACTATAACACCTAGAGTTCGATATTTAGGGGAAGGCAACAAAATTCCTTCTTTTTCTTTTTCTTCCGTTTCCTTTCCTTCCTCCTCTCAATCATCCCACGTTTAAGGATAGATTTCAAGGGAAAAAGACTCATCCTAAAGGATACTTGAAATAAGTTTAAAATCAGTTATAGGAATGACAATTACACAATTTGATTGATACAAAAAGCTTGAGCCAAAAAAACTCATGGCCATCCTAAAGGATACTTGAAACACATTCGCACATGTCTTTGTTTAGAAACATCATTATTGAATGGTATGTCTTAGAGGAGTACCCACTATAGACTTGGTATAATGATGTTAAGAATGTTGGAACGAATCGTTTAAGTTGTGGGGTTATGACTTGAAAATAACATATACACACTTTAAATTTGGTCTCAAGTATTAGATTCAAAAGACGTCACACCATATGTAGATATGGAAAGCTCCCACATTGTCTTATATTAGGATTTGCGGGATGTGATGTATGTGTAAGATGCAAAGAGACAGAATCACATATGTTGATTTGTTACATACGTAAAGAAACAAAGGCATACTACTTCTATGATTCGGTAGACAATAAAGTGGTTGTTGTCAAGGGATACGACTTCTTGTAGAAATCGTTTCTTGCAAAGAAACACTATAAGGGCAAAGTGATAGTTATAAAAGTTCTAGAGACACAAAATGTATAATTTTCTAGTGAACTAACGTCCACACAAATTCTTGTTAATGCTCCTTCGAAAACATGTGAACATATCAAAGATCACCCTAGTGATACAGTAGGGGTGTCATATGTTGGCACGACTAGACAAAAATACACAACAAAAAACGACATGTCAGACGAAATTGGAATTGGAATTTGTATATGTCTTATGTTTGTCTCTAGTGTAAAAAAACTTGATGGTATGTCGTGTCGTCCATGTTCGTGTTTGTGGTCAAAATTCAACATAAAACGGACACGATATTAGCATGTGTTTGTTGTTTTCTATGTGTTTGTAACACTTGTTTCGAGTCATTTCATAATTCGGGGTCGTAACCCGAAGATCAAGTATCATAAGGCTTCAAGCTTTGGGAAAGATAGGTTTAGACCCATTTGGTTGTGAATAATGTAGGCTGTGGGTACCGAGTGTTCGGTGTGTGCTTTGGAGCCCAAGGTTATGATAGTAAAGTGATGGTGCGGGCCTTTCATGAATGTTGGCATTAATTTCGGAATGTTTTAAGGCAAATGAGATTAGATAGGGTTGTAAAGCTCTTCATTACCTTTCCATGGATATAAAGATCATTAAAAACGAAGTTGGGACACAAAAGTTATGGTCATCGAAAGATAGATCAGTAAGGAGCATGTCGTGTACGTTGAGCATACATGCTGGAGTAATCGTGAAGGCTCCTTCGCGTACGCTGGGCATACCAGATGTACGCTAGGCGTACGCAACTCAATCTCAAAAGGCTGATACACTTTATTATATTCATACATAAAGGCTATATATAACCTTCCATACATAATCACGTAGGAAGGAAAAGAAAACAATAAAATACTACCTAAGCTAAAGAACGGGTAAAAGGGATGACTTTTTCTTCTATAACCAATGTGTAAAACCCCCAACATACATATCTTTGAAACAGTCAACAATGTTTAACTTAACATAAATCACATTTAAGAGTTGGAGTTACCCTTTGATCATAGAGAAGCACCCAAAGCTGATTATACCAAATTTATATGAGCATGGAGTTACCAACAACCAAACAAAAATGAAACAAAAATGTATGAGATTATACAAGCCATGTTGACTTATGGTTTTGGGTTAAAAGGACAATCCCGACGTATGTGTCCCTCTTTATGACATCCAAAGCACAAGCCTCTCCCCCTCCTCATGTGCATGTCTTTCCCTTTTGACCACCTCTGTTGTTGTTGACTACTTCTGGAATCTTCCTCATCCTTCAACCAGTATATCAACTTATCAAGAGGTAGATACTCTTGATGCATCATCAGTTTTGCCCTGACATTCTTCCAAGAAGGAGGAAGCTTTGAAATGATGGCACTTATGTGAAAAGTCTCATCTATGTGTATCCCGGAGGCTGTAACACTGCCTGCAATCCTGTGAAGTTGTTCAACTTGTTCGACAACAGAAACCCCATCAATCATCTGAAACTGAATGTAATTGTTGACATGACATCTTTTCGTTCCAAAATCATCATCATACAGTGACTTAAGCTCCCCCCATAATTCTCTCGCATTCGTTGTTGTTTTAATTGAGTATTGGTCAAAGAGTTGGTCAGACAGGGAGTTCAAGATGCTGTGGCGACAGATGTAATCATCATTCATCCACATCTGTGCATGTGATTTGGCCAAACAGATCTCTTCCAAAGATGCTGCTGGTGAAACAGGGATTTCTGGGCATGATTCAATAACAACATAATACACTTTTAACTGCTTTAGAAAGAATTCCATTTGGCGTTTCCAGCAGTAGTAATTTCTTCCTGTCAAACGTGTAGTTGCAATGGGGATGAGTGGAATACTTTGCAACCTACTTGATCTTGATGGATTTGAAGTTTGCTTCATTTCATTGCCTTCTGATCTGAATTAAATCAGATTTTTCTAAGAATGTAATGAGAGTGATGTGGTACTTAATATTATATGAATACTTTAAACATGTAAGCGTTAAATCCTCAGTCAACAATAAATTCTACCATATATTTTATATTTCATGCAGAAAAAGTAAGGTTGCGTTTTTTTTACCTCATCCTTGATTCCATTTTTGTGATGGCTACTTCTATATCATCAAAACTTGGACGAAATGTCGACCATTCTTTTGGGTCAAGGTGATTCCTGATTATAACACAAAAATAAACAGATTAAAGACTAACCATAATCAACTGCTTTAAAGATATATTAATAAATAAATAAATAAATAAATAAATAAACTGTTAATCCTTCAAGGGAACATAACATGAGTAACATGGGAAGTTATAAATTCTATTTAAAATAAAAAAGTGCCAATTATGTTGAAGCTTCTTTCCTATACAAACCAAAGTTATAGTAATCTAGTTTTCATCTTGGAGGACAAACACAACTCTCAACACCTTGACCTTATTATAGGTTTTCTAATTTGAATTGTATGTAGACAAGGGGCATGTTTGGCAAAACTAGCTGGTAGCTGGAACCTGTTGCTTTTATTTGTGCACAAAAAAAAGTAGTTGTTAGCTTTTAAATGTGTAAAATTACATGAAAACTAAAAGCTCTAAAAAGAATTTGTGCCAAACACACCCAAGATCTAGAGTACAAACTTTTGAATGTTATCACATGGTCAGAACCATGTTTTATGATTAACCATCTAGAATATGGTAACAAATCAATATTTGCTAAAATACATGGTTAAATGCTTATTAATGCCATAATGTATCACTTTTTTCGCAATATATGCAACAATATGGTTTTTTAGAGGAAATATGCAACCAAGCTTCATTCTAGGACCAAAACATGCAAACATCTTTTACTTGTCACAGATAACAATAAAACAGACATGGATTGAAACTACAGAGGAAAGAAAGATTTTAATATCAAATGCATTCATCATTTGTTGCCCATGATTAACAATATGAAAATTGAAGAGCTACAAGTGGCCACCTCACCTCCACCGGAAGGAAACACCTTTCCCTCTTTTTGATAGTACTCCCTTATTGACAACAACTTTGTCCTTTTAAACCTTTTAACTGACACTCTCATCATACCTGGTAGCTATACAACATGGGGAAAGGGAAAGGAAAACAATATAAGTAAGCTCAACAACCAAATATCTCTTCATAAAGATTATTATTCAACGGGCCAATACTACCAAACTTCTTAGTTTTACATGAAATAGCAAACACATCATGTAAACTCAGGTGAAATAACACTAGACTTGTATCTATGAATCATTTTACAACTGAAAATAACTTTTCAACTTACACCCCACCAACTCATGACAATGCACAGCTTTAACTGAAAAACGTTAATAGAATAAAAAAAAAAAAGCTTATTTCTCTAGAGCTTTTTAGATTCTTTCAACTGATAACGTACTGATTACATTTTTATTTATTTATTTATTTATTTATAAAAACGTACTGATTACATGGAATGCAAGTTTGAAAATAAGACTTAAGCATTTAAAGCTTATCATGTAAGAAGAAACACAACCGTTAATATAGGATGTTTTTTTTCTACCAAATTCGAATAACTCCTCCTTCCCCCCCCCCCCCCCCCCCCCCCCCCCCCCCCCCCCCCCAAAAAAAAAAGCTACATTTGAATTTTAAAATATGATGTCTATTGAGGTACTCCTAAACGTAATCAAAGAATAGTTGCAAATTAACGACAATATTATGCATGCCATACATGTGGTAAAATTAGATGATGTTAGCATTTTTCTCTGTATAGATCACAAGTCGATCGCTTTGATGAAAATTGATGCTTTTGAAATATTCAAATGTACCTTTTTGGATAGCTGAGTGAGTATGACTTAAACCCTAGACTAAATAGGACTTATCAATTAAAGCTCACTAGATTAAGCAGTTTGAGTTACAATATAAATCATATATGAAAATAAGCTTAATTCACGTCTCCCTAATATATTCTAATAGTTTCATCGTTGATTAAAACTTGATTCAAAAGTTAGGTTTTCGAGAACTCACCTTACATATAACACGTCCACCACCATCATCAGAAGCATCTTTTTGATTGTCAACAGGTGGTTTATCCACTTGTACTTCTTCCACGTGCTCTGTTCCTTCGTGAACTTCATCGACCGGCGAAGTAGACAGCAAAAAGGACTCAACGACTCGTCTAACTAGCCGCTTGCTAGCTATATCAGATAGGTCGACGCCAAGCAGTCTTTCGGCCTCTCTTCGAACAACGAGCTCGGTGGCGATTTCTAAATCGGCACCTTTAAGGATTCGAATCACTGTTTCTTCGAGTTTCCCCTGGTTACGTTCGAATTCCATTGGAGGGAGCAAATGATGAAGGGAGAAAAGAGAGGGAAGGGGTTTATTACAATTACAATTAATCAATTAAATGAGCAGAGTGTCCTTTACTTTTCGTATTTTGCTTTTTTAGCCCTTAATAGTTTTGGTGGGGTTCGTAATTTGCATTATAATCCTACATGTTATTAGCGGGTGTCAATTTCTATAAGTTTATTGCACTTGTTTTTCCCTATAGCATCCTTTTCCACCGAAGCCATGCCTATTTTTAGGTTGAGATTGATCTAAATTTTGTCTATTTTATATTTGCTAAATGAAGTTCTGAATTTTGCTTTATATTCATGTTTTTGGTGCTATTAATAAAAAACTGTACCTTAAATTTGTAATTGATAAAAAAAAAGTCCTAAAGTTTGGGAAAAAGAAATAAGAACAAGGCATAAGCCACGGTCCAAAAATAATTTGTTTACTTGTTAAAAGTAAATTCCAAACTTCAGGGACTACAGATGTATATAATACTAATAGTGCTCATAAATAGGAGAAGAAAAAATAAATAGGTTCTACCGAGACTTGAACTCGGGTTACTGGATTCAGAGTCCAATGTCCTAACCACTAGACCATAGAACCATATTGTTAGCTTATTAAAATTATAATATGTATACTGAAGTTTTAACCAGGTGAAGCCGAAAATATTTTTGTTAATAAATATTTCAAATCATTGAAAGTCGACCAAAAATTATTTTTGATGCATATAACGAAATAACATTGCATTTAAGAAAATATTAAAATTGTTATATGTAATTTTATAATCATATCTCTAAATATTATTAAAAGAGAAACTTGATGACATCACTTTCAACAATCAGGACATTCATTGTATTTTCTTGATTAATTTCAACCTTTAGATCGTTTAGCATTATTCTGATGATGTCATCTTAAAGAAAGACAAATCATTGTTGATTGAACGCATTCCAAATTCGCTTGATTACAAAACGTCCGTGTGTAATAAACACTTTCCATGTTGAATTCGATAAATCAGCCACCTAATTAGCAATTTTTGATAAGTCAATGAGGATGATTGCAACATATTTGATTGAAATCCTTTCTGAATCGCTTCCTCAAGCTCAGCTATTACGCGATTACATCGTCTCTAGATTAGGGTTCTATATTGTTATTCATCTTTTCATTCTGATTAATCTTAACCAACAGAGCTATCGGATGATTCTAATCGTCTTCTCTCTCAAACACTAGAACTTAATAAACATTTGTTATATGTAGGTGCTTGAAGACGATTACAAAGATAAAATTTTGATTACTCAATCCACAAAAGAAAATAAGAAATTGAAGTTTTTGGCCCCTTGCAACTCTATCATTTATCGATTGAAGAATCAATATTGATCTTACAGGTAACAGCTTTAGATTATGGATTGATCAAGCCACTCAATGCATATTGACGACAGGTGTGTTTTTGTAAAAAGAATTGTGACGTTGTCTTTGTTTTTTCATTTGTAAGTTCAACATTTATGAACATATTCTTGATTTCTTTTTACGATTTTTGTACAATTTTGAGACAATTGCTGAAGATTGCATTGAAAAGTTGTGCTTTACGTCATGACATCCTTACTTTAGGGTTTTGGTCCCCTGTTCATGGTGGAGTGTGGGTGTATTTCAAATCATATGGTATTAACTCAGAAAGCACTCGTACCAGTTGCACCATTGTGAAAGGTTTTCATTTTTCTTTTATTCTTCAACTTCAAACTGTTAATTTGTTCCCATTCTTCCCCTGATCATTAACTAATCCATCACCAATTTTTTCTGAAACACAGATTTGTTGAGGATTCTTTGACCCGTTTGAAGAACTGGAAAACCTAAAAATCAATAACGTATGGCAATTGATTAAAAATTAGGAATAAGATGAACCCAATTTGGCGATAAAAATGAAGACGAAAAATAGGATCTTTGATGGAAAGGGAAATTGTACCGGGTGGGTTTTTTGATGACGATAGAAATCGTTCGTCATTTATTCACTGATTTCTAATTTCCTTTATTTTTTCAATCTGTTATGTGTATTTTTAAATACCCTTTGTTAATATTCTCAAATTTGATGGAACTTTAACTTATTTTAAATTTGTTTTCTAGGTGATGATTACAGAAAAGTCTCAAAGTTGAGTCACAATGCTTTTGCTGCTTCAAAATCCCTCATCATACCCAATTTCTGTCACCGGAATTCTATTTTTGTAATTATATTTCATATTTATTGAAGTATTAAATATTTATTATATTTTTTTCTTATTTTACAAACTTTTCAAATTTACAGTTTTGGAGTAGGTGAACTTAAGTTAAGGTGTTGGTATGCAAATTCACAATCTGCAAAAATATCATAGTATTATTTTTCAGCAACTTTTTTACATCAATGAATAATTGATCTATTTTTGTAATTATATTTCATATTTATTGAAATATTAAATATTTATTATATTTTTTCTTATTCTACAAACTTATTATTTCTTTAGACATTTCAGTATAATCAATAATACGATGTCTCTTTATGTTACTTTATCTTATTTTATTTTATTGTGTCGGATGTTCCCCACATTTATGACATCATTTTATACAATCACGACCCTTGATTGTGCTTCCTTTATAGGTTGTACACCCTTAGATCAATTTGCTTATTTCATCTTCATTGAATTACTTTGCTTACGGTAAACATGAATCAGTATAATTGAGAAAACATGTAAACTCTTTCTATCATAATATGAAAAACATGTAAACTCTTTTTATCCAAAAAAAAACAGTAGATCTTTTCCATTTTCAAAATGTATTACACTTCTATAAAAGCCCACTAAAAATTGAGAAAACAAATCTCAAAAAAAAAAAAAAAAAAAAACAAACAAACAGTAGAGGCCGTCTCCATTCAACATCTCGAGTTCACCCCTGTATGACCACTCCAAACCAGAGCCTTATTACAACAATAACTTCACATCCATCAGATGTTCTGAAAAAACAACATTATTTTCGAACACTAAATAACTGAAACAAAAAATAATATGATAATCAAAAAATATATGAAAGAAAGCATATTCTTAAAAATCTGAAACAACACTAAAGTTCCAACACCAAGCACCTTAAATCCTGATTTTTGTTTAAGGTTTAGCCAAATCTCATTTTACTGCTGCCACTAAGGGCAGAGTCTCCACCATAACCATAACCACGGTCAACACTTTCAAACAGGAATGGATGATTACAACATTTCTTCAACTCCACCACAATGTTCAAGAGGGAAACCTCAACATTTGCATCAGACAAGATTCAAGTCAATATTTAACTATATGTATGTCTAAAGAAATAACAAAACATAGATAAGATTCAAGTCGATATTTAATATTTTTCATTACTTTTAAAATTTAGTTTAGGGCTTTAGGCTAACCTGATTTCGACGCACACCTTTGTTGAGGTCATGAAAGTTGCGTTCAAGGATCCATTTGTAATACCCGACAAATAAACCAATCAGTTTAGTGGCAAGATATAGAACCACTTGAGAATCCAGTAGGGGTAGAGTTGGAATAGGATTATTATTACTATTTTTGTAGAGGGGACATTTCAACACGGACAACATTGTTATTTCCTGCATTTACCCCTAACAGTAAACTAACATAAGCAGACAATCAAACTAACAACAAAAGATTCCAGCGGAAATGAATTCCATCCATTTGGCAACAATGGAATGGAATCGTCAATTCCAATTGTGAACAAACACAAAATTAAGCTTTACATACCTCTCGCCTAGCACGAGTCCCAACATATACAATCATGTTCATATCAGGAAGCCACTTTCTGAATTCTTTAGCCAAATTTGACAAATTTGATAAAGGAACAACAACAAGAATTGGTCCATGAATTTGTTGGGAGTTCTGTGCAGACCTCATAAAAAAAAGTTAATCACTTTGTATAGAGCAAATTGGCAGAAAGATGTGAGAAATTAAAATATATATGAATACCTGAAGGAAACCAAGCATAGAAACAGACTAAACTATTTTACTAAGACCCATTTCATCAACTAATATGACATTTGTATAATTTCTCCAACTGCAATGTGAATATTATTAATAAGTATAGCTTTAAATATAACAAATAAAATGGAGGTATCTGTATGAAATATCTACTATTTTGACTTTCAAAAGTCAAATTTACCATGTCACAAATTGAGAATTTGTCTTAAGTATAAAAGGGTAACATCAACATTTTACTATTTTTGTGATGCTTAGAGTCGCATGTTATTTAAAAAAAGTAAGGAAAATGTTAATATGCATTTTCATATTTGACAGATTTCATATATGATAAGCTAAATAAGGAATTTTGAGTACATATGGAACGGAACCTTCAGTTTTAAGTATAGAGATCATAAGCAAATATAAAAACCTACAAAATTAGGGACAGAAAATCATAAGAAGATTTTTTTTGATAAAAATTGCAAAGAAATCTCACAAAAACTAGGAAAATCAGGGAAAAAAACACGACTTTACCTTAAATAAATGTCACAACAGAGATCATAAGCAAATGTAAAAACCTATAAAATTAGAGACAAAAACTCATGATTTAACTCTTTTAGAACCTACCGTCGTCGGTCTTTAAGGTTCTTTTCCTCCTCGTCTTTACTCTCTGCCTAACATCAAACCTCCATCGATCTCTACGCTTCTTCTCCGGTCGACGGCACCGATCGCTACCTCAACATCTACTTCACTGCTTGCGCCTGAAGACGATTTTTCCCACACAGGTGTGTAATTTTCTTGGGTAAAACCAAAAAAGTAGATCTTTAAATTTCTTGACTTTATCGGTCCCAAATTTCCCATTCTGTCAACCTTAAACTAAAACTTATGACTACTTTTTTATTTTTTATGAATATTTTATTGTTCTTTGAATTACTTGTTATAATATTGCTACTTATTAATTGTAAATGTCACTTGTAAAAGAACATCAAGTGTGAGATGTAAATAACTCATTCGTATATATAAATTGAAACCTAATACCAATTTTTATTTTACTAATCATGTTATGCTATGTTACGACCAAAACATTTTTGTATTAAATATTTTATTGAATTATTTGTTGTTATTTTGCAGGGTGAATATTCAAATGTCCGGGACGAGGTGGAAAAAAAAAAGCCCTTAAGCATTAACTAAATTACATAAACTATCTTTTTTTTAAAGCATTGATAAACTTTATAGCAATAAACATTGCAAAATCTTAGTATTTTAATGAGTAATTCAAAATCTTGGACAATATAGAACCAAGGGTATTTTGGGAAAACATTCCAATTTTAAGTTTTTAAGTTACTTTAGGATTCCAACAAATTTTTCAGAAATTTTTTTTCTTCCGTGTTCTGTTCTGTCCTGTTAATCTTTTTTTTTTTCAGCACAGTTAAGTTGTGTTTAATTCTTCTAGAATCAAGAGAATTGATTCTCATGTTTTTTGTCCTGTTAAGCCATGTTTAGATTTCCTTCTTTGGTTGTGACATTCTATTAGAATCAAATAATTCCATTACAACAATGACAACATTCATTCATGAATCATAATTCAACATTCAAGATTTCAAGTATTCAAGAATCATAATTTCAAGGAAAATTGTTAAACTGTTAATGATAAAACATTAAAACTAATAAAACTAAATCTAATAAAATTGTGAATTTGTGATAATGATAATTGTCCAAAACTCTAATTAATAAACTGTAACTAATTCTGTAATTCGTAAATCTGATCATAATCGTTTATTCGTTTACCTGATTCTGTGATTCAAAGCAATTGACTGATTGAGTTCTTATTAATGTTTCTCACTTCTTGTCGTTGAGTGCAATATGGACATTTATCCATCTGCTATGAATGTACTTTTGGATAAAAAGTTTGCGTTCATAATTCAAATTTCAGATGATAATTTGAAGAACAAACTTGATGGTTATGAAATCTTAAAGTTCACTGATGATAATACAATCATTGTTCAATTGGAAAAAAAATTAACATCAAACAAGTAATATATGAATTTATTTCTACATTTAGAATTTATTTCGACATTAATGATGCTCTTTTTGCTTATTATTTTTTTGTTTTACAGTTCTCGTCATTGGACATTAAAGATGGTGTTGTCGCTCCTTCTTTGAAGATCTCCAAAATGGAAAAAGCTTGAATAACTTTAAGTCATTCATTATTACCTGACATTTTGGGTTGAAAACTTTTTTTATTAGTTTTTATTGTTTGCTTATGGATTTGTGTGACAAGTAATTTCTTTTGATTTAAAATTTTATGTTTTTTTTCGTCTATTTCACATAAATTTTATTTTTATAATTATTATGTGTTCCCTGCGTTTAACGCGGGTTATAATCTAGTTTAATATATAAAATTATTAACTTTAGGTGATATAATATAGAAGCATTCGATGGCAGACACAAGACAAAATCTTAGAGGTTGCACACATGATTTTAGAGGTGGTATGTCGGAAAATTTCTTAAAATATTTACACTGTGCTGTAAAATTTGAAGGGCTACACCAGAAACCCCCTATGCTCCTCCCGGGAAGCATTTACTTTATGTGCCTAGTGAAAACTAGATGGGTAAAAGCCTTGTATGTAAATATTCATAGAAAAATTGAAAGGGTTATTTTTTAAATTTTTAAATTTTACGTATAATTATATATTTTCTATAATTAAATTGTATATATTGTCGGTTGTTAATAGTTGAAAATACAACGATGGTATATAATATATGTGTTATACATATAACTTATTCCATTAATTTTTTATTTTTTTAGTAACGGCAAAGACACTAATTCTACTTTTAATTCTATATATTTGTTACGATAAAATTTGAACATTCAACCACTTAGAAAAAACATATTCATTACGCACGTTGATACCAAAAGACCAAAAAAAACCCTTAAGTCAATAGAAAAAACAATGGCGGAACTAATAAGTTGGTATGCTACCCCTCATTCTCTCCCAACATGTATAGAAAATTTGGATATTTTTAGCTATGGGCGTGTTCGGCACACAACGTTTGGGAGTTTCTGGCTTCTAATTGTTAAGAAAACGCTAGTAAAAAAGAAAAAGTCTCGTTCGGCGACAGGAACGTTTAGCTTTAAACATAAACAAAACACTCTAAAATCAAAAGATATCCGCTACCATCTACTTTTGCCGAACACTCCCTATATGTATTATATATTACAAGGTGTTCATAGCCAAATCAATTATGCTCATATAGAGGAATAAATTTAAATCCACTTAACAATTTGATAGCCCACTAAATACAATAAATAGCCCACGGATTAATTATTAAATTTCATTTAATAATTTAAAATACATTTTTAAATTACTTTAGTTTAATTTAGATGTTCAAATTGAAAACTTAAAATAGCTAATTATTTGTTCAAATTGAAAACTTAAAATTAGCTAATTATCTGTGTACTGTTGGTGAAATTAGGTTTAAATCTTTAATTGTATATTTTAAATCTTAAATTGTGTTTGTAGTGAGATTTGCTAATTTGAAGGGCATTAAAGATCTTTTGTTTATAGGTTATTAAAGTTGATTTTGGTTTTGTTCGTCGCTACCAAAATTGTTGAAAGATGTTTTTTTCGCAGTAAAGCTCTTGATAACCGACTTGTGTAATAAACAGGGGCGTAGCTATGCTTATACAAGGTAGGTCCTAGGACCTACCTTCTTTTTTTAATACAACAAATATATATAGAAAAAATGTTATTTTTGCTAAAAAAACTTACCTATTTTTGCTAAAAGACCTACCTATTTTAGTTTTATTTACAAAAGGAACCATGTGGTTTTTTATTTTAGATTCGCCACTGGTAATAAAACTAGGGATGATTTTTCGAATGATGCTTTTATTTGTATAGAAAAAAAAGCACTTATGGATTTTTAAGATCGAACGAGTAATAATAGAGTGTTTTCGGAAAATGGGAAAATGAAGATGTCAACTTCAAAATGTAAGACTTTTGTGTTAGTTTGTTATAGCTAATGAAACTTTAAGTAAAAAAAAATTACTTCACTATCTTTTATCGGGAATTTTTTTTGTGTCGCCCCTGTTAAAAGTTTCTGATTCGCCACTGGAAAAAAAAAAAATACGTTGCATTTTGTATTATTGGTTGATCGTGAATTAGATACCCTTATAGATTTGAATAGTCACTTTTTCCATCACTATACCTCTATGCTATCTTATTTTATTTGACTTAATAGTAAATATGGTTGCTATAATTTGAGATACGTTTTCTCTATATGTATCCAACTGTCAATTTTATTTATTTCGAAATATATCTATTATAACTATTATACTTATTATTATAGGACTCATAAAACAATTAGAATCTTAATATTAATGTTTTAATAAAAAAAATAGCCCTAAATATAGATCGTTACATTTTGGTATGAAATATAACTAAACAAACATTCATAATGTGTTAGAGATGATCATTATTCTATATGAAAATATATTTATAATTTATACACAAGTTTGACATGCTTCATACACGCGTATAACAATGTTTTACCATATTAGTTGAACAATAAATAGAAGTCTAGGTAGGTAAGTAATAACGATTCAAAGAATGTGGTTTAACCGATCCATACCTAATTGTAAACCTAACATGTCAAGAAAATCTAGCATGCAAAAACTGTGTAAAAGTACACTTTAATATGTTTATATTTTCTTCAAATGGGACATTTTATCTTTCTCTTGTCAAATCAAGAAGTGATGGACTTGCAACAACTAGCATTTATAATTGTCTTTGTGGTTCTCATATCAAGAATTATATCATTATGGGTTGTCAAATTTTCACTACAAACAGAAACACTGGGTAGACTTCCACCAGGGCCACCAAGGTGGCCCATTGTTGGTAATCTCCTCCAATTAGGGTCGTTGCCTCATAGAGACTTGGCTTCTTTTTGTGAGCGCTATGGACCATTGGTATACCTTCGTCTTGGAAAAGTCGATGCCATTACCACCAATGACCCTAACATTATCCGTGAGATACTTCTCCAACAGGATGATGTATTTGCATCGCGCCCACAGACCCTAGCTGCAATCCACCTTGCATACAATTGTGGTGATGTTGCACTAGCACCTTTTGGTCCTCGATGGAAATGGATGCGAAGGATTTGCATGGAGCAACTTCTTACAACAAAAAGACTTGAATCTTTTGCAAACCAAAGGGCAAGCGAAGCCCAACATTTGGTACAAGATGTATGGACTTTGGCCCAAGATGAAGGCCCGATTAACCTTAGAGAAGTTTTAGGTGCTTTTTCTATGAACAATGTGACCCGAATGTTGCTAGGGAAGCAATACTTTGGTTCGGGCTCAGCTGGGCCAAAAGAGGCCTTGGAGTTTATGCACATAACCCATGAGTTGTTTTGGTTGTTAGGTTTGATCTATTTGGGTGATTATTTACCATTTTGGAGATGGGTAGACCCGTATGGTTGTGAGAAAAAAATGAGGGAGGTGGAGAAAAGGGTAGATGATTTTCATATGAACATAATTGAAGAACATAGACAAAGAAAGAAGAACGAAGAACAAAAAGACAAAGGATATATGGATTTTGTTGATGTTTTACTCTCTTTGCCCGGTGAAAATGGTAAAGAGCATATGGATGATACCGAAATCAAAGCTCTTGTTCAGGTGATTTTTTTTCTTCAAAACTCTATTAGGTAGTATAAATGGTTTCAACATTATTAATATACATATTAGAATCCTAACATGCTTAGGAACAGTATAAAGTGGGCCATGTGTGTAAGAATAAGTAACGATCAATGTATTTAAATTTCAGGATATGATAGCTGCTGCAACAGATACTTCAGCAGTA